AAGGGGGTCAGTAGGTCACTGCTGGGCAACAGGGCGCCGCCCTCTGCGGACACGTGGCGGTCAGAGCAGCACATTTCAGTGGAAATAGAAAGGTACAAACAAAACCTTCCTGTGTGAAACGCTCACCGGCACTTTATTAAAGGTAAAATATTAAAATTATAAATAAAAAAACCCCAATGTATACAAAATTAAATGTGAAATGAGCTACGACAACAGAGTAGTTTTTAATGGCTAGCAGCACTTTCGTGACTGTTAGATGATGAAATCCCACCCCGGAGGGAAACTGCGTCAAAGACGCACCCGTAACCCTCCTGCTCGCTGAACAGCAAACAGCTTGGCAGCGGGGAATATTATACAGCCCCAAAGCAATCTCCTCTGCATCCAAAATGCCGACGGGCCCGTCTTCATGCTTCTGACGTCCAACTAGGAACATAACAGGATTTAATTTATTTAAAGATTAAATACCAGAGAAAATAAAACGAGTTTACTGAAAAACTCAGTGAAACACGTAGCTGACAGAGTGAACAGCAAGGGAAAACTGAGTGACGGGCATAGGGGCTTCCTTGTGGCCCAGAACATGCAGTCGTGCAATTTTATAATTCCTTGTCTATTTACTGAACTAATTTTATCATTCCCAAGCACTGCTCTTATACACTGACATTACATTTCACAATTGAAAATATTGGGGCAATGGGCCCCTGCACCTCTGGCCTGTACCCCCAATCTGTAAGAAAAAGAAAATATTGGTGGGAAAGCTAGGAAGGGAGCATGGTAAGCCATAAGCGTTACTTCTGGCATTGTTCATTCTACTTCTCACATGTTCTGTCATGTACAGTCCCCTTTACCATCAGAGCCGGTCACTGAAGCTAGTGGAAAAGTCATTGGTAAAATCCTCCTTGCTTCTTGGGAGGGGAAAGCAATTTTTAAACAGTCTTAAGAATTGCACTGTGGGGCTCTCCCTGGTGGTGCAGTGGGCTAAAGCACAGCACTGAGAAGCTCAAGCCACTTCGGCATGAGCTTGATCCCCGCCTGCCCCAGAGGTGACCCACAGGGCAGAGCAGACCTCTCCTGACCC